AGGATATATTGATGAGGCCTTTTTTTTGATGTTTCAGGATAGAAAAGCACTATGTAAAACCAAGTAAAGGTTACAGAGATATTCCTTATATACATATTTGCTTCACTTTTCCTAGGTCTTTGAAGGTAAAGGTTATGATTAAACTGTTTGTGGGAGTCAATTAATAATACTAATACAAAGCTAAAAGGTCAGTTTTTAGGTAACATCAAATATTACAACTTCAAAATATGTTGATTTGCTAACCATATTTGGTTTACTTGCAGCTGGATTTTTTTTAGGAGTACCCATATGTATTTGTTGATACTAAGAGATAAGGTAAACTTGTTTACCATATCTCTTGTTTACCATATATGTTTACCTTTCTTTCCACATCCCCCTCCTTAGTAATTGTGTTATAGCAAAAGAATGGAGATTATGTGTATGTAATTGGAGGAAACTAAAACCGAAGTAGGGAGGAACCAAGAAAATTACAAAATAAAATAGAATTTCTTTGATAGCGGTGTTAAAAATAAAACTTCTTTTATCACTAGCAATATCAGTAAGATAATCTCCAGAATTAAACTTGGAAGCATTTCTGCTACTGCATTTTATGTAATGGTGGAGAGGTTGTTTATAGACAAATAAGATTTCTTAAGCAGCAGCTGTGTATAAAGATTGTGAACAGTGCCCTGGTTCAGCAATGTATGGACTAAGGTTTCAAATCCAGATTTTTCTGGCTTCCAAATTCATACTGTAGCTATTATGGCTTTTTAACAAAAATGAGAAAGATGAGCATGGAATACCATGCATTTAGTGAAAAATAAGGCTTGTGTTCTTGTAAATTAGTTTCTTTAAAACAAGTTTGAGGTTCTTTAATTAAGGGGAAACAATCCATGGATGGGGGAATACAGTGCCTCACCAGCAATGGAGCACCCTTCCCAACTCTTGTGGGCGATAGCACGGGTATTTTTTATAGTTCAATTTTCCATTACCATTTATCCCCACTATATCCTCTTCCTCCCCCACCCGCTCCCTTCCCCCTGCAATCACTGCACTGCTGTCCATGTCCATGAGTTCTTTCTCTTTTTTGTTTTATCCTTCAATACCCTCAACTGCCACCCCATCACCCAGAGCTATCAGCCTGCTCTCTATTTATGAGTCTGTCTCTATTTTGCTTACCAGTTCAGTTTGTTCATTAGATTCCACATGTGAGTGAAATCATATGGTATTTGTCTTTCTCTGACTGGCTTATTTCATTTAGTGTATTGTTCTCCAGGTCCATCCATGTTGTCATAAAGGGCAAAACTTTCTTCTTTTTTATGGTTGAGTAGTATTCTATTGTATAAATGTCCCATAGCTGTTTTATCCACTCATCTACTGATGGACACTTGGGCTGCTTCCATACCTTCACAACTGTAAATAAACTGCAATGAACATAAGGGTTCATATATTTTTTTGAATTAACGTTTTGGTTTTCTTCAGATAAATTCTCAGATATGAAATCTCTGAGTCATAAAACAATTCCATTTTTAATTTTTTGAGGTAATACTGTAGTGCTTTCCATAGTGGCTGCACCAGCCTGCATCCCCACAAACAGTGCAGAAGGGTTACCCTTTCTCCACATCCTCACCAGCATTAGTTGTTGTTGATTTATTGATGATGGCCATTCTGCAGATGTGAGGTGATATCTCATTGTAGTTTTAATTGGCATTTCTCTGATGATTAGTGATGTTGAGTATCTTTTCCTACATCTATTGGCCATCTGTATGTTCTCTTTGGACAAATGTCTATTTGTGTTTTTTGCTCATTTTTAATTGGATTATTTTGGCGGGTGTTGAGTTTTATAAGTTTTTTATAAATTTTGGATATTAATCCCTTATCAGAGGTATTGCTGAGTATGTTCTGATATATCTCCTTAGGCAAGGGAACAAAAGAAAAATAAACAAATGTGACTACATCAAACTGAAAAGTTTTTCCACAGCAAATGAAATGATCAAAATGAAAAGACAACCTACTAAATGGAAAAACATATTTGCCAATACATCTTGTAAACTAGTTTAAAGATAACTCCTAAACTAATGCTCTGTTAATATTTGGACTACCGTATGCATTTTAAACCTTCCAAGATAATGAATTTAAGCAAAACAATGTATTTTTTTATTTTTGTAATATTTCAAGCATTATAAACAAAAGAGTAAAATTATTTATTTCATTGCACTTTTTACAGTATATACTAAAATAGCTATAGTGATTGAAATATGTATCATCTTGAGATGGTTATCTTTCAGGATTCTGAATTATATATTTAGTGCACTTACAATATTTGGACCAATATGCTAGTTGCTGGTTATTTCTAACATTGCCAGCATTAATCTTACTACTAGTTCCAAAACTGGAGACTTGATTGGACCAGTAAATAATTTCGAGAGATATGTTACTCCTTTCTTAATTTTTCTAGGCTAAAGCACTTGATTCCATTATTTCATGGCTGTGAATACCAAAAGGCAATTCCAGTATTTATTTTTGGGATCCCTTTGAATTTTGCAGTTATCAAGGAAAAGTGATGGTCTGTGTCTCTTAAATGATTAAGTGGGAGTTGAAGAACATAGTACTCTCCTTTCCCTGCCACACTAGCCCTTTAACTCTGGCTTCTATAATCCTAGAATAAAGTGTAGTACATATTTGATGTAACTAATTCCTAATTTCATTGTCGAAAGCTCTGAATTTTTCTTCTAAAATCTATTTTTATTTTGTACTCATATCCACATTTTTGGTAATATGCTTAAAATTTAGACTGTCTCCAAATAGCTTTAGGAAAAAAAATACATTCTCTTTCCACTGAATAATATGGCACTATGTTCTACCAAGTAAGAATAAAGGATCATTTAGTGTTGACTCTATGAGGCCAAGAAAAATTATGACTAGAGAAATTATTTATTGAGTGTATTAGTGAAATTTATTATTGTCTTATGATACTTCCTATGTAACAATACTACCTTTCAAAATGTTGCCTAAAAGGGGCTGACTTTGTCAACTTTCTTTGGAGTAGTTCTTGTTAGCTGCTTGAAAAATGTGAAGTGGCAAATGTGTGCGTGTTTAAAAGTTGGTCTTCACAACTAAGAGATAATAGTGGCTTTTGACTTTGTTATTCATTTCACACAGCAGTGGACAGGTGGTTATTGTACCACACCACACATTCTGGAGTGAGATTTGCTGTAATAACACAAACCAATAGGTTTAAACTTCACAAACGACCTTTCAAAGGGCAGGCATTCAATTTGGACAAAAGTGATCAACAGCAGGCTTCAGGCTAAAATATAAGAACTTAAAACTCTATAATTAGGCAACTTATTTAAAAACACAGGATAAGAGAGGCACAGATGGTTCATATTAACAAAAGCAAACAAACAAAAAACTAAAAACATGAGTATAAAATTAGCAATGGCAAGAGATGAACTATGTACTTTAATAGGCTGGCTCTAAATATGTATCTCTCCATCAATCAGTATTTATTGGGAATTGGGGTTAAATACAAGTCTTTGCTTTAAGAAACATGCAATCTAATAAAGGTGCTAGAACTTACAGCAGTTATACAAATCTATGTGCAAATGGAATTTCACTCTATGAAATTATTTGTACAGAAATAAGAAACAAGTTTGGAAAAAGACTGAAAAAATAATTTTGTGCATGAATAGATACAAATACACATGTAAATTGCTATACTCCTGTGTGTTCCAAGAGCTATACTTCTCTCAGTCTGTTCTTCTGCCAAATTATATAAAACTAAAGTATGGAAGGGTGATACTTTTTTCCAGGAGTAATCACTGCATTCAAATTGGATTTATAGTCAGATAGCATTTATGACCCATCTACTGTGTCTGCATGATACTTCATTCAAAGCAATGTGGGAGAGAGAAGATGGTGATTTGGTTGAGGGGAATGTTCATAAGAAATAGTGGGGGTAGTTTTTTGTCCTTATGAATGTGGCGGTTTGAGGCTATTGATACGGTGGTGGGGAAAAGTGAGAGTGCATGTTTGTGTTCTACACATTACTCGTCATTCTTTTTTCCATCCTTTCCTCTAGGGCTTGTTCCTCCTTTCTCTTATTAAAAATCTTTCTTCTTTTCTTGTATTTGCAGATGCTTACACACTGAGCCCAAAGTGGTTTGAGTGGAGGAAGTATATGGTTCAAGATTGAATTGAATTGCTCATGGGGCAGCATTTTAGCTTTTCTTTTTTATGAGCTTCAATTCTTGAGTCAGTTCTTAGTTATAGTGGATCCATCCACCTTTGTGACTGTTTTTGGCTTAGTGTGGGAAAGGGAATTAGATTACTTGCTTATCAAAAGGCTTGGAATCCTTGATACTTTTCTTTCTTTATTTATTTTTTTATTTATTGGCTTTGAGATAGAGAGAGAAAGAGGGAGGTGAAGACATCAGTTTGTTGTTCCACTTACTTATGCATGCATTCATTGGTTGATTCTTGTATGTACCCTGACTGGGGATCAAACCCATAACCCTGGCAAACTAGGATGACTCTCCAACTAACTGAGCTACCTGGCTAGGGCTGACTTTTTTTTTTTTTTTTGTAATTTGAGGGCATGAGCCACAGAGGAAAAGAAGAGGTTTCCTCAAATGCCAACTAACACTAAACCAGTTTCATGAATGCCTTTGGCATTTGATTGTCCTTAATAGATTCTTTCAATGGTAGCATCTGAAGCTGTCAATAAGGAGCTAATCTATTTGATCTCTTCAATAAAGTGAATGATTTCAAGGACACCTGATTATATGGAACACTCTTCTATATCAAATTGCTTTTATTAACTTATTTTATAGACTGAAAAACTGAGTTGCATAGAAAGTTTAATAACTTGCCAGCACCACTCAGCAAGTCATTGTGAAGATAACAGATTTCTGAAACTGAATGTAAAGCCCAACAGTCAGGTAATTGTCCCTGTGCATTTTTTGCCTACGCCTCTTTCAGTCTCCACTATATTTTGTGTGGTTGCTTCTTTCTTTCAGCTGGTCGCACTTCAAAAGCACCAGCTCTCAGAAGCAGCGACATTGGGAGTGGCACCGTTGGCAGTGTTTGGTTCATCACGACCTGGAGATCCTGACTCAGGAAAGCAACCCATCCACACAAACGTGCCTGTGATTGACTTGCAAGTTGCACTCACTCCATAGGAAGTGATATTCATCTGACTGAATGACTCGGGTGGGCCAGGGGTAGTAATGTGTACACAAAAATTTGTGTGCCATACTGTTCTTTTTCAAAGCTATGAACTCCACTTACCAGAATGAATAAATTTTGTTTTCATTTGCAAGATTTCTGTATCTGTTTCTGACTTCTCCACATATTCCCTCTGCTACATTAGACCTGAATGGGCTGTAAGTGGGGTGACGGGGAACATGAGAAGGCTAAGATGTTCACTGGGCACAAGGCAGGAAGGGTGGTCCTTTTCCCAGCTATCTTCTGATGACTTGTGCAGTCTTCTTGGTGGCCAGCTTCATCAGTATTACCAGCACTTAAGACAGTGTTCTCCTCCAGCTGCTAGTACCTTTGTCATTCTTATTGTTGCACTTAACGCCAGGCTGACAGAGCAGTGTTGGCAGAAATTTTCTAACCTCAGGTACAAAAGCAAAGCAAAACAGTTGTATGATAAATGGGTCAGAACTATTTTCTATCTCCCTTTGGGAGGAAACACTTTTTTCCTTTTTTTAGACAAATGAGAGTGAAGGCAGGCTTCTTGTGGGGAAAAAGATAAATCAAAGAATTACCTTATGTTTTAATCAATACTAAATGCTTTGACATATGTTTTGTACTGGGAAGGCAGGACCGGGGTTGTCACAGAGTAATTAGAGCAATGGTTCCCGGAGCAATGTGTATGCCTCTCAACCAAATACCACAGGCAGTTAAGCCTTTCTGTGTTTCTGTGGCAGGGATTCTTCTTCCTGGCAGTAATGGGGAAGTATCTACAGATGTTTTCTGCAGATGTCTCCCAGCAGGGAGACATGTTACTGTGTGCTTTCTCTTGTCACCTACTTCCCTTCTTCATTCCCCTATCTGTCCATTTCCTCCTGGCGAACTTTCTGCTGCTGCTTCCTAGATCCCTCGACTCTTACTTAGCTTTGTCCCTTCTTCTTTGCACCTGCAATGTGGCAAGAAAGCCACTTGTTCTTTCATATCTCATGTCAAAACTCACTTTTGGGATGTGTTTTCAGTACATTACCACAATAAGTGCATTTCTAAAGGTTAACAGCTGGGCATTCAAAACAAGAAAAAATATACATTCACACACAAATGTATAAGAAAAGTACTGTCTTATCTTTAACTTCTTTATTAAATGTGAACTATAGGCTATGTTTAAAATGATTCATTTATTTAATAAATATTTACTGACTAAAAAGGCTCACAAGTCTAGATCAGGAAGACATTAGCCTGACCTGCAATGAAAACAGTATATGAAGAATAAATAAATACACTCCTAAAAAATCAAAAGCGGGGCCGTCAATATTGAATTTTGGTCCTGCTAACATGGCTGCCTTTAGACACACCACTATTAATTACAGCAGGAGGAAGACTAGAGTGTAATAAAAACTGTTGGGCAAGATAAGGTATCTTATAAAGTTCATATATTTTTAAAAGTTCTATGCAAGGAATATATATATATATATATATATATATATATATATATATATATATAATTCTAAATCTGTTTGAATCCCCTGGAAAATTATATTTCCATTATTTCTATGTACTTCTATTATTTCTCCTCTCAGTTTTGCACAAAACTTGTTTACTCAGTCATTATTTCTATACTATTGCTTGCTTCTATTGTCTATACTTCTGCACTTTCAGTCAAATTGTACAAGCCCAGAGCTTTAAAGAAATGTTTAAAAATATATAATTTATATCATTTCTTGTAGTCGAAGATAAGCTGGATAAGCAATGAAGAGTTATCATGCATTGTTTTCCTTCTTTTAGTGGATGACATGCAGTTAAGACTGATAGAGAAAACTTGGGATGCATTTACCTGTCATTGTTTGCATATCTTACTTTCCCATTTCTAGCTAGTTTTAGTGACTAAAGAAATAGAAAAAGTATATACCTTGCTAAAGATGGGCGAAGCACACACTGTGCTGGAACATAAGAAATCTTACAGATGTGCAGAAGGTGTTTCAGCCTGGCTTTCACAATTGAGAATAGGTTCTAATTTTTTAAAAGCAATTTAAAAGTATGTTGTCAGCTTCTTAGAGAGAAATAATTTTAAGTGGAAGCATAGAAGAGATGAAATGTGGGGAGTAGAACAGAGGGTAAAAATAAATACCAATCTTGGAAGCATTAAAATAATTTTCTAAGTGTATTTTTTCTTAGGTTTAATTCTCATTTTTGTGAGAGGACTTTATCTTCTTAATAGCAATTAACTAATTGATCCTTTTGGCTCTAATTTCTATCCTGGGTAAAATTCACAACCATGAGTGAAAAATTCAGAGTTATTTAGAAAATATTTCAGCTGTGGAACAGTTCTTCTGGTACTTTTATTTCTATGCTAAAATATGTTTGGGAAATGCCTGCACTTTCAAACCCTGTGGATAGCCAGCCATTTTCTTTGCCATGATATTTGACAGTATGTTGCTGAAGGTGTCTGTGAATCAGTGAGAATCCCATTTGCCTTTTCTGATGCCTGAGGGTAGAAGAGAAGCAAAGATGATTTATAATAATGTTCTGTACCCAGGATTTTGACAAATACTTAACTACATAATTGGGTGACTTCCTTTTCACTTAGGGAGAAGAAGGTAGCACACATTATAAAAAATATAACAAGGGCAAACAAAGCTTTAGTAAAATTCATTAAAACATTTTTAAAAAGTACTTTTAAAAGTACTTTTTCGGAAGGTACTTTAGAAGTCCTTGGGTGGAAACGTGCTATTTTGAGACACAGGCAACCTCTCTGGCAACATTACATGAGCACTAAAGGACCATCAGAGCCACTCAAACCACCGAGAGGAACAGACACTCGAGCTGAATAAAGTGAACAGGTCTCTCCACACCAGGGGATTTTTTTTTTAAACAGAGCTTTTCTGCTTTCTAAAGTGGTGAAACAAAGTTTCAAACTTTGTCTCTCCCTTGAGTTCCTTTATATGGATTTCCCTCCCTTCATTCTTTCACCCTAATCAAGTAGTGACTGTGCACTTTTTTTGATGAATCAGTTTTCTCCATATGCTGCAAATCATATTTAGATATAACACAATACAAGAATGAAGACTGATTAATATACACCAACATATATTGTTAATTGTTCAGATGGAAAACTATCAAGGTATATGAGGTCTGTACGGAAAAAGTCCAGACATTGTTAATGAGAACAGTTTGCACAATGTCCATGTAACCTGGCAGCCAAGGAGAGTGGACTGGAATGCACCATGCATGAACAATGATGACTTCATTCTACTAGTCAGTGGAAGTGGTAGACACCATTGAGTGAGCATGTGTACTGTGTGGCCAGTGTATTCAAAATGAATGAGTGAGTAGAGCAATGAATCTGCATCAGATTTTGTGTGAAGCTTGAACATTCCTCTGCAGAAACTATTTGGATGATTCAGAAGGCTTTTGGGAGCAATGCAATGAGTGCCGTGCAAATAAAAGTGTGGCACAAATGCTTCAAAGTGGTCAAGAATCTGTTGAAAGGGCCCCATGTTCTGGAAGGCCTGCCACAAGCAGAACACCTGAGAATGTTGAACATGTACAGGCTATAATCAACAAAGATCAGCAACTGACAGAGTGAGAACTAGAAACTGATCTGGGGATTCCAAAAACTACTGAGTCCAAGATTTTGATGCAGGATCTTGACATGAAACATATCATGGCAAAATTCATTCTGCCAGCAGAGCAGCAGAACATTGTGCTTCAGTTGCTAATGATTTGATTCAAACTGCTACCCATGAACCAGATTTCCTCAAGAAGGTCATAACTGGAGATGAGCAGTGGGTTTACAGCTATGATCTGGAAACAAACGCCTAGTTGTCCCAGTGGAAGTTGTCTGGTTCTCCACGCCCAAAGAAGGTGAGGCAAAGTTGCAGCAAAATCGAGACCATGTTATCTGTGTTTTTTATTGAGAAGGTGTTGTCCATCGTGAGTATGCCTCTCCAGGCCAAAGAATTAATAAAGAGCTCCACCTCAGTGTTGATCAGTTGAGAGATGCAATACAATGAAAACAGCCGCGGCCATGGGCAACTGGTGATTGGCAGCTTCACCATGACAACACACCCTCTCATGCATCACATCTCATGCAGAGTTTTTTTTTGTGAAACACCAAATCACCCAGGTGAATCAGCTCCCTTACAGCCAAGATTTGGCCCTTCGTGATTTCTGGCTTTTTCCAAAACTAAAATCAGCTTTGAAAGGGAAGCGATCTCAGACCGTTGGTGAGATTCAGGAAAATATGACGGGGCAGCTGATGGCGATTCCAGCCATGGATTTTTAGGGCTGCCTGTAGTAAGCAAATCTAGAGTCTGGGGTTTGTGAGGCACCCTCTCTGGGATCTCACCTATCACTGCGGGCCAGGAAGTCTGTCGGTTATAAGAAGGAAGGGCTTGCAGAGCCACGTGGGCCATCCCAGGACTCTTCCTGCTTTGCCTTTGCATCTTGGTTCTGGGTAAGATCTCTAACTTATGTGAACCTGATTCGGCAACCTAAACCACTGTCTTTGAACAATTACCATCCCTTTCATAAATAATTAAATTGTGGAGCATATGATACCATTTATCTCATTGGATTGTTGCAAGAAACAAAATATTGCCATTATCTTATAGAGGAGATAACTGAAGCTCAGAGAGATTACTAATTTGGCTTAAATTACACAATAAGTGGTGCAACCTGGCACCATGCTAGCCCCTTGGGGACAAATGGAAATATAAAACTTAGTTTCTGTTTATTTTAAAATAACTCTTCATGCTCCATACAAATGGTGTTCCTGGTCCCTGAAAATAACATGTGTGACTATTAATTAAAAGAAACCTGAGTATCAAGTTGCAACAGTAGTATGGGAAGCACTATTTAAACTGTATGTAATAAAGTCCTGTGAAGGAGGAGATTTAACTGCAGAGGAGACTGGGTAGACTTTGTAATTTTAGGAAATTTGAGGAAATATGAAC